TCAACATAAACAAAAATAGATAACTTACGTTTTACATTAACTTTTACATTTTACCTACGTATAAATGAAGTAAATAAAAATGCATATTTTTCAATTTAAAAACATGCAAAAAAAAGTTTAATTGCGTCAAAAAAATAAAGGCCTAATCTTATTTGACAGTTATTGAGGGGGGAGGAGGGAGAGGAGAATAAGTAAAGTTGACGTCAGCAACTTTTTTTGTTTTTTTAATTTCATTACTCAAAAAAAGAAAAATTAGGCTGCATTTGTTGCGTAATTTAGCATTGACGGGGTAATTTAGCATTGACGTAATTTTATAGGAAGGAGGGGAGGGTCTCTAAAAACTTGACAAACTGTTGACAAGGATGGGGGGGGGGTAAAATTTGCAAAAAAATTTGACTTTAAAATTTTCCCATTTTTTTTTAGATATCCAAACGCTGAAAAGTAATTCAGGGCAAAAAAAATTTGTTTGAATAAAGATTATTTTTTGGGGGGAAAAAAAACTTTAAAAAAACTTAGCGATAAGAGGATTTCCTCGAATTGTACCAGGATAATTTTACCAGGATAATTTTCCTATTATGTTTCCCAAGTTTTCTATAGGTTGTGTTTGCTATAACTTGTTGGTTAGCTGAATATCTAAAAAATCTAAAAAGAAAGAATAAGATTTCTTATAAAACTCTAAACAATTTTTACGATATTATATTTTTTGACAAAATGCAGTAAATAATTTTTTAAAACATAAAAAAGTGTATAAAAATAATTCATCGTGTATATTAATAATATACAAAGTATTTATAATAACTTATAATAACACTTTATAAACAACGGAAAAATTATCTAACTGCATTTTGTCAAAATATATAATATCGTAAAAATTGTTTAGTTTTATAAGAAATCTTATTCTTTCTTTTTAGATCTTTTAGATATTCTGCTAACCGACAGTTTACCTATAGAAAACTTAGGAAACATAATAGGAAAATTATCCCGGCATTTTATTAGAAATCAAAGCTAAAACTTTTATAAGTTCTAAACTATTTAAAACACTATTACTTAATGAATTTTTTTTTGACTTTTAACCGAATTCTATTAAACTTTTTTTGCAAAACTAATTTAAAAAACTTGATTAAAACATAACTTTTTAATCATGACTTTTTTTAAAAAAAGATTATTTGAAAATCGAAGTAGATATTCTAAAGTTGTTGTGACGTACTAATGTGAATTTTAACAACTAATAATCGAGTCTCAATGCTAAAAAAATCAAATCAAAATGGCATTGTTTTTCAGTGATTTCAGCGACTGCTTTTTGTTGCTATGCATTTATCATTACTATTTAGTGAAAAAAAACTTACATGTTTTTTTTTTTTTATACTCTTTCATATGAGATCATATGTTAGGAGCACTTAGGGATTCCTTTAACTTTTCAGCAAAAATGGAAAAACTTCAAAGAAACAGTATTTGCGGGTGTAAAACCAAACAAGTTTGTTATTTTTTAGATTGTACTCTATTTCTTGCTAACTTTGTTATATGATATTTGCTGTTGTTGGAACACATTGCAAAAAATTTGCAAATTTTGAAAAGTAAATTTAACAAGCAAGTTGCCGAGAAAATCCCTAAAATGGCAAGTTGCCGAGAAAATCCCTATTTCGCAGTTATGCAATTGCGTAGAAGTAAAGTTTAGGGATGTCGAACCCATTTATTTGTTATTTGGGTATTTCGGGTTAGCACTATTTGACCCAAATATTTGTATTTTTACCCAAATATTTGTTCACAAATAGTGAAAAAAATTTTAAATTATTTTTCAGTGTTTTTTTAAAAAATAATCGTCACATTTTTAAAAATCTAATATGTTACGAACCCTTTATTTCAATATCCAAGTTACAGAATTTCTGTGAATTTTATATTATAATTAATTCACTACTACTGAAATTTTTTAAAATTTACCTTTGTATAATTGTGAATTTAATCAAGTAACTATTGAAATTATACAAAGAAGTACTATAAATACTAATATATGAGAACATGCTTTTTTAGGTTATGTTGACTAAACTAATATTTTATTTAGAAAATGACGAGTGAAGTGTAGAAACATTTTGTAAAAATCAGGCAAAATGTCAAGTTGGCAACTGTAATGATGTTGGTACGATTGTTAATTATGGAACAACAAATTTGATGAATCATTTAAAATTGAAACATGTCATGGATATATCTCTTAAAAGAAAGATTACATCAGAATCAAGAGAAGGTCCAAGTAATCAAAAAATTCAACGTCCAATAACAAGTTTTACAGTTCCAGTGTCTAGAGAGTTGTCAAAATGTGCAGCCAAAGATTGATTTTCAATCAATCAAATAATAAATTTGGATGCTACTAAATCATATTTGTCATTGCACGAACATCAAATGCCTAAATCAAGATCAACAGTTTGGGAAGACATTAAAAAATACTACAAAGACGTTTTTAATGTATTTGTGTTAAAAATTCAAGAGACTAAAGTCATGGGAAAGAAATTTAGTACCATAATTGATGAGTGGACTGATAATACATTCAAGAGATATTTAAATATCAAAATTCACAACGGCACTAAACCTAAGCAATTTGCATTAACTTCTGTTAGATCAGGTAGTTGTAATAATGAAAAATTGAAAACAATTGTCAGGAAAAAATTCCAGGACATCAAACTTGACATTTCAGAAGATATTGTCTCAACTATAAACGATGGAGTTTCCGTAAAGGAAAAATATGCCACCTTGATGCCATTTGCAAGTTAACTTTGTTACAATCATGGAATAAATTTAACTATTGTTGACTGTTTATATCAAAAAGATCGTGAAGAGATGAATGAATATAACGATAATGTTGAACTTGATGATGAAGGTGAAGATTTTGATGAAAAACTAGATTTTGATGAACAAGAAAGCTCTTTACCTATGGAAAAATCCTACTTTGATGTTATGTCAGTTGTTCTAGGATATGTAAGAAAATTTCGAAAATTACCATTGAAAATTGCTTGCTATCTAGAAAATGTCCAAAAAACAACAAGAAAAGAGTTAACTCTATTAATTGACAGCAAGACAAGATGGAATAGTGTACTTCCTATGTTGCAAAGATTTTTTGAAAGAAAACTGAAAGAAATTGTAAAATCTACAATAATTGAATTTGATGGTTCATATGATGACAGCATTAAAACTGAAGTTAAAGACATAATAGATTGTTAAATCTGAAGTTAAAGACATAATAGATTAATAGATTCCTGTTGAAGAAGTTATTAAAAAATTTAGCTCTAAATGCTGCAGTTTGATGGTGGCAGAAGGATCATTTATCTATTTATTCAACACACTCAGCGCACAGGAAAGTGATATTTTGCAAAAAATACTTGAAAATTTAAAAACTCAAATTGATTCACAAAGAAATGTCGATTTAGTATTAACATTGATTTTTCTTCATACTGGCGATTATCCAAAGGAAAATGATTATTTTAAATATTCGTCAAAATTAACTATTAGAAAAAAAATTAAAGAACTCAATACAAGACTATTTCCAGAATCATTGTTAGAGGAAAATGATGATGAAAATGATTCTAATGCATCCAAGCTTGATGACACTATCAACCACTTTGTAAACCATCAGAAAACAGTCATAACTTCGATCGAAAATGAAATAAAGGCATTTGAAGGAACAAAAGAACATACAGATAAACTTCAGATGTTCTACAGTGCCTTATTAACTGTGCAAGCAACATCAACAGATGTTGAAAGAGTCTTTTCTGTAGCTGGAAACTTCAAGACTAAACTTCATAATAGAATGAAAGAAGAAAAATTGAATATGCTTGTATTTTTAAATATCACTTCTTAAATAAAAGCTAAAATTTGAATTGAAATCAATTGATTTTTTTCATACATTTTACTATTTGGTATTTGTACAAATATTTGGGGGGTCACTATTTGGGGTATTTGGTATTTGTACAAATAGTGAAAACCCAAATGTTTGGCGTCCCTAATAAAGTTTACACAATTAATAAATCAGAGATTTTATGTTATTTTTCTTTTAGTTTTTAAAAATAATTAATTTTCAATAATTTTTAGAATTATTAATAAATTTTAATTTTTGAAACTTTATAATCTTATTATTAATCACCTTTTAATTAGGAATTGAATTTTTTGAGCATTTGGGAATATCGCATTTGACGGGGGCCTATAGGGCTAGTTTACACCCATATATATATAAATATATAGATATACAGTGGTGTACACTGGATTTTTAGATGTTTGAGTTTTGACACTTACACACATTTTGCAAACTCCAAACTTTTGTATGTTCATACTTATGTCAAATGAGAATGTTTTGCAAAGAGTTGTGGTGATTGGAGCTTGGGGACAAAAAAACCCAATTTTCTGGCTCACCCAGCCCTCAATGTGGGAGGAACAAGTTGATAAAATAATTTCTTTAGTATTTTTATCTAAGTTTATATTCATCAACAAATTTCAAATTTCATGTAATAACCTTTTGGTTTTAAGTTTTTATGACCCTACAAAGTTTACAGCCCCCTCAAATTGAGGGGGTTAAAACTTTATATGGTCATAATTTTCGAAAAATAAGAAATTATTGGATGAAATTTGAAAATTGTTGATGAATATAAACTTAGATAAAAATACTAAAAAAATTATTTTATCAACTTGTTGCTCCCACATTAAGGGCTGTAAGTGTCAAAACTCAAACATCTAAAAGTCCAGTGTACACCACTGATATATATATATATATATATATATATATATATATATATATATATATATATATATATATATATATATATATATATATATATATATATATATATATATATATATATATATATACATATATATATATATATATACATATATATATATATATATATATATATATATATATATATATATATATATATATATATATATATATATATATATATATATATATATATTATTTGCAAAGTTGATAAAGTTTATTAAACATTTTTTGTTTAAAGAATGTCCTGAGTGTCATTTCAAGTATATTCTTGTACGTGGTGGTTGTATGCATTTTACTTGTACTCAATGTGGTTATGAATTTTGCAGCGGATGTTTTATGAGTTTCCTCAAGGGAGGGGTTAGTTTTTTTTTTCTTGTTGGTTTTAATTTTATAATTTTTTTTATTCATTTGATTTGATTTTGGTAAGACAGGCTTGGTCGGGAAGCGGGAGCGATCGCTCTCTATTGCTGAACACGTAAATAATATTTAGTTGCGAAAAGCTGGCCAGATTTTTTAGCCGTTTTGAGAACATTTTAAAAAGCAAAAAAAAAAAGCGACTGAGATTAATTGGACCGATGAGAGACAATTACAAAAAAAAAAAAAAAAAAAAAAAAAATTTGGCAAATAAAATAGCTTTAAACGCGAAAAAACTTAAAGCTAAATAAATTACATTTAGAACAAATATTTTTGAAACATCGCTCTTTTACAATTCTTTTTATAAAATTAAGCGATGTTTTTTATATAAAGTAACAACTTACGATTGTTTAAAAGGGAAACAAATATTCTTTATTTATCTAAGTTTGCAAGTTTTAGTTTTACCTAAGCTAAATTATTTTATAAATAAAAAAGTTAATTTTTTTAATACCTATTTTATGTTTTGCGTAGTTTGAAAAGTTCAACATATTTGAAGCAATTCTTCTTAGTAAGATAAACAAATGAAATAATTAAATCATTGAATTACTATAAGAATTAAATTATCAAGATAGAAATCAACTAAAAAAGTTAAAAATACTTAATGACCGGGAAGCGAAACTGCTTCACAATATCGCTGATGATGTTTAGTGAGTGGGCTTTCTAATTTTAATTACTATTTAAAGCAGAAAAAAGTAAATTGAGTTTTAAGAATGGCAACTTAATCAAAAATAATTAGAGTTAGTAAACCAATATCTAGAAACTTTTCTTTATATCTAATTATTTGCTATATATATTTGTATTCTGTCGTTCAGGCGCGATGCTTGTTCATCCGCGAGTTACTTTGTATGCGTTGTTTGTGTTTAGTAACCAGAAACTTCTTATATGTTTGTTACATAATTAGTTTTATTAACTTTAGCGATTATAACTTCATTGAAAACGTAATTATTTTTGTAAGTCTTTGTTTAAATCATGAAAATTGCTTTAAAAGATACATTACGATAAAAAACAAACACACAAAATTACATTTACATAAAGAATACAATCTCTTTTAAAATAAAAAATAAAAATATACTTATAAAATCTATGATTTATAATAAACTTTTAAAATTTTAACAATTTAATTAATATATATTTAAAACATTTATTTTTGTAAACAAATAATATATATTCTTAAAACAATGCTAGAAATTTCAAAACGAAACAAATCGTAAATAATACAATTTCTAAAACAATTTAACAGAATACTCTAGAACTTTATTTCGCTTAATCAGCGTATTTTTTGAACCAATAGAATTAGTTTGTTCGTTAATTTGGCGGGTTTTTAGTTTTTTATGTTTCCATGTATGTCCGTAAAATAAAAATTTTTTGTTTCGTACATAAACTTAAATGTTCTCAAAACGACTAAAAAACCTGGCCAGTTTTACGCAACTAAATATAATTTCAGTGGTCAGTATTCGAGAGCGATCGCTCCCGCTTCCTGACCAAGCCTGGTAAGAGAATTTAAAATATGTTTATTTATATCTTTATCACTATAATTCTTTTAAAAATGATTAGAAGAAGAAGAATATTCCCTATATTTATAAGATATATATTTTATGTAGAGATTAAATGTAGATATATTTTATAAAATACATTTATAAAATATATATATCATCTATTTTTTTCGATGATTTATATTTGATCATATGGCATAGAAGATAGTTAGGCATTTAATTTTTTTTTTAATGTTTTTTTATTGACAGAGATGCCAAGTTAATCCTGAGTGCGCCAACAAAGGTTTACATGCCCACCACCCACGTGATTGTTATTTTTATTTGAGAGATAAATCTGTGAACGAACTTAGAACTCTTCTAGAAAAAAATAATGTTGAATTTGACAAGGACAGGCCTAACCAAGAAATGCCGGATAACCAAAGTATTTAGTTAATTTATTTTATATATGTTTTTTAAATTTCTTTTGTAAGTATTTTATTTATTTGTTTATTTATTTATTTTTAAAAGTGATATCTTTTTACAGTTAATGGCCCTTATCGTTGTACAATACCAATATCTGAAGACTATCTAGATAAACCATGTGAAAAAGACTCACCTGATAATATGGCAGGACTTTGCGAGTTAGTGGATATTTAATTTTCAACCTTGCTTTTTTTAAACCAATTTTTTTTAAACAAAAAAACAAGTAGAGTGTTGTTACATCAACTGTTTTATAGTCTGCTGCTACAAAGGAATGCTGCCACATCGACTATATTATAGTCTGCTGCTACAAGGAAATGCCCTACATTGACTGAGGGTTTGGTTTGAGCTAACAGTTTCAAGAAAAAAAAATTTATTCAAATTTTTAACCTTTTTCTGGTCTGGTTTATTAGTGTTCTCTTAAAAACTACAGTTTATGGAAGATATATATATATATATATATATATATATATATATATATATATATATATATATATATATATATATATATATATATATATATATATATATATATATATGTATATATTTATATGTATATAAACAGAGGCAATTCTACAAATAAAATGAGGGGGGGAGTTAATCCTCAAAAAGTACCGACTAGCTTCTATAATATTAAAAAAAAAAAAAATGGTCCTCAAAACGAAAATTTAACCAACTAGCCGACTAAATTCGTAAAAAAACCGTCTGTAACTTGAAAATCACCTTCTTTGGGGGGGGGGGGGGGTGTAACAAATATGATAGTTTCAGGATTTCACAATGTTTTTATAGCGATTATGTCTAAGGTGATACCAAGAATTTTTATTAAATTTGATGCAGCCTAAGTTGTTTCTGAAAACGTGGGTTTCCATTATGGACTTATTTTTTTTTATTTATCTTCCTAAGGTTGCAGCAGCCACTGGAGGAGGCTACACCTCTTTCCTTTTTTTTAATTGTTTTTTAACCCTTTATCTCAGAAACAAGTTAAGCTGCTGTGCATAAAAGCATGTTGAGCGCCTTACTACCAGAAAAATGGTGGGATTAAATTAAGAACTTTCTCATTTACAAATAAAAGTACATATTTACAATTGAGAATTTCTCATTTACATACCACTATCACTGCACTACGACCACTGCACCATTATTGCATAAATCAGTTTTTGTTTTATTTAGATCAGGCATCATTTTCAAGAAACCACCTGATGACTGTATTGTCATGTGTTGTTTATGTGATCTTTTCCTGGTCTGATGGCAGTGTAGAGTTATCATCAGCATATTGATGATACTTAACTATACGTATTTTCAGTTTAGTTTAGATTTTCAGGAGCACATACATCAGAAATTTTTGATTTTGTTGTTTTAATAGAAACAGGATTTTTTAAAGGATATAGTTAAAAAATTATGGAAACATAATTAGTAATAAGGTAAAGACCACATAAATAAATTCAATACTTGTAGCAAAACTGTATTAATGATTAAAATTTTATATGTATTAATGATGGTTTTATGTTAATGCAACTTTATATACTTGTATTATTAGATTTATATACAAGTAATTTTGTAGTATTTAGTGTAAGTTGTATATTTGTATATAGTAGTATTAGAAGATTTATTTATTTTTTGCACTTTCATGTATGAGTGGTGGTTCTGCATACTTAAAAAAGTGCAGGGCTCTTTATATTTCTATACATAAGTTCGATGCTACTATTATGTTATGGGCCGCACTAAAGTTTATAATTTTCATAAAAAATCGATGACACTACTGTGACGCTTATAAAAAATGTGTGGTTCTATAAGCTAAATTTACAGTGGTTTCTTATATGGTAGATACTGCCTTTAAAGGTAAAAAGATTTAAAGGTTGCCTCTAGTGGCTATTGTTTACCAACTGGCTTGGTTCAACTGGTTGCTTCAACAAAAGGCAAAAAAAAGATCAAATTAATCTTCAAATGCTTAACTTAAACACTTTTTTTTACAAGAATTTAAAGATTAATTTAGTGCAAGATTTTGATATTAAAGTTTTATATTCTTTAAAACTTTGATTTTTTTTAAATGTTTTTTTGCAGAGACATTGTTTGAACAAATATGATGAATAAATTAATTTATTTTCAAAATAGTTTTACCTATATGCTTTAGACAAAAAAATCATTTTGGCAAAAAAAAATTGATAAAATGTTTCATTATTCACAAACACTGTTGTATTCACAACACTATTTGTAAATAATCAAGAAAAAAAAAAAATCTGGCAGCAACAGTAAATTTTATATATATATATATATATATATATATATATATATATATATATATATATATATATATATATATATATATATATATATATATACGTTTTTTTATTAATTTTTTTTTGTTTATAATTTATCTGCATTTTTGAATAGCAGGATAAACACCTTTTACAATTTTTTAACTGATTAAATTAAAATTTATTGTTTCTATTGTTAACAAAACATAAAAAAGTTAAAACTGAATTTAAAAATTTTTATAAATCTTTATAATTTTTTTTTAGATTACATTATATTGAGTATCTTGTTGCACTAATAAACAAAAGTAACTTAGACCCAGTTTTAATTTTATCGATTCAAGAGCTTAATGTTGTATTGACAAGAAGTTATAAAGATATTTTAGAACAAAATGAAAACGAAGCTGAAGAAGAATTTCACGAAAGATTACGAGAGGTATTTATTTATTTTTTGACAACCTAAAGTCTTGACTTAAAATTTTAAGCTTAATTCAAGGTGCAAAAAAAAAATCAGCTCTTTAATTCTTTTTTAATTTTAAATTTTTTTGTAATCCTTAATTTTAAAGTTTTTATTTTTTAAATAAACCAAATAATTAAATTAAAAAAATTAATTTTTAAATTTTATTATTATTATTTTTTAGATAATTTTAAATTTTATTTTCTTTTTTATGTTTTAAATCTTAATATAATTTTAAGATAGTAAAAAAAATATATATTTTTAAAAAATTAAAAAAATTAACATAAATATTTTAAAATTATACAATATTGTAATAAAAAATATATAGTAATAAAAAAAAATATATAGTAATAAAAAAAAATCAAAATAAATAATTATTTTGTTTTTATTTTTTGTATTATTTTTTAATTTTTTTATAGTTTTTGAAAAAATAAAAAATAAAAATTAAAAACTGGTTCAAAAGTTTATAAAAGGATTAAAAAAAAGTTTTAGTTTTTTTTACACCTCAAGTCAAGTCATAGTCTGACTTTTTAATATCTTTGTACTGTTTTTTTTTTTTTAATTTTAATTCACCTCCTCAAGGCCGAGAAGACCACTACAGACAAGGAGGCTACTTATTTTGTGGCTTTAACCCTCTCTCAACTCTATAACTCCGAAACACAAACCTTGACGAATAAGGCCGCTGCGCGGAGAAACAAGTTGTGCGCAGTACTACCAGGGACGTGGTGGGGATCGAACTTGAAACCACTCGTTTATGAAGCGAGCGCTCTACCACTACACCACTACTGCATATATATTTATGTAACCCTTAACTATGACATTAACTATGATGAAGTATAACTAAAGTAAAAATAAACAAAATAAAACAATTGCAATGTTAACACATTACAATATTATTTTTAATTTGTTGTTACAATACAACACTGCCCATTAACAGGCTTATTTAATAAACAAAAGACAGTAACAATAATGTTAACTTTGATAATTATTTATTATATAAATTTTTATATTAGAATAGGACTTTTTTTAGTGGAATAAATTTATTTATCAGATTATTTGATATCTTAGCAGTAAGGATTAAAATTTTTAAGGTATCTTAGAATTAAAATAGCAGAAAATACAACTAGTAAAGAGACAAAATGATAAATAAAAAAATATCAGAACAAAAGATCTATAGCTTGTGTTTTATGTCTTGAAACAAAAATCATAATGTTATAAAGTCAATCAATATTACAAAATACGGATTTTAATTCTACTTTTACATTTTAAAAATTTACTTTAGAATCACTTAAAAATTACATAAATTACAAATTCTTTTAAATTATGTAAGTTTACAATTAAATTATGTAAATTATTTAAGTTTACATGCTAATAACTAAAAATACTATCAAAGTTTCTAGAGATTTTTATTCAACAAAAGAATTTCGAAATTTTAAAAATTTATTTGAAACTCATGTGATCAACTCACATATTTAATTAATGACTTTAATTCAATGTAGGACAATTTATTATAAATGAAAATGGCATGACTAATTTAGATAAACAGTGGAAAACATGAAAAGAAGAAAGTTGTATTTAATTGCAACAGGAGTTACACCTAAAAAAAGTTATTACTATGCATTTGACAAGAAAAAATATAAAAGAAATATACAAAAGTCTTTAAAGAAAAATTAACAGTCAATACAATGCTATGTGTAAAAAATTCAAATTTTAAACCAAGAATGAATACCTTGTATGACCAACATTTTTAATTCTTTACTCTTTTAAATTTATTAAGTTGTTATGAGGCTATACAAAACAACTTAGTATTTATAGAAACTGTATTTTCTGATGTTTTCAAATAGTATACGCAGTTGTTTTAAGTGAGCTTAATGGCTTCTTATTTTTTTTGTGTGAAAATAATAGCTTAAGGGGTGTCGCTAATATCTTGATAACTTTTGAAATATTTGAGATAATTCTGTATAATATTAACACCAATATTATATCCAAGCTGTGAGTTATTCCTCTGATGTGAGTTTTCAGCTCCAATGTGGATTCAAATTGCTTACCATTTTCATAAACCTTTCTAGAAAGTATTCCACATAGATTTTCAATTGGGTTTAGATCTGGACTGCATGCTGGCCATTTAATTATGTGAATTTTTTTTTCTCTAAAGCAAGCTATCCATAATTCAAAGCTTTTGTAAGATTTGAATTATGGATAGCGGCATTGTCTTATTGAAAAGTGAAATTTTCCTCCATCAATTCTTCACTATGTTTAAGCAAACTTATTTCTAATAAGTCAAGGTAGTCCTGTAAAATTATTTTTGTTAAAACCCATGCCAGTGGAAGTTTTCCAGCAATAGAAAAATCCCCCCAAACCATAACAGTTCCACAACTAAAGTTGCAACTCTGCAAAGTTTCTTCCTCTTTAAAAAGTTCATGCCAGTAATATTGATAGCTATCAGGACCATTTAGATTTTTTTCATCACTAAAGAAAACTTGATGCCACTCTTCCTGCCAAGTTCTTTTGCAAATTGTAATCTTCATGACGAACAGTAAGTTTTGGTTTTGGTTTACACTTTTTCCAAATTGTGTTTGGATCTTCATGTAAGATTTGTTTCACAGGTTGAACATTTACAGATAGTTATAAATCAGCACGAGTTCGAGATGCAGTCATGTGCTGAACGCAGCACGACGTACAATAACTCATTTAGTACAATTATTAATTTTACATTAGCCACTACTTCCTTATAAGATCCATAATTAACGCCCATCTTGAGTTAATTATACATCTATTTCTTCATTTGTTAAACGCTTACCACGTCACATTTCAAAATCAGGTATCAAAAATCAAATGTTAAAAAATTTATGAGCACTGATTTCACAGTCTTGTTTAACTTACAAATAATAATAAAAAATTAAGTCACAAATGCGTATCACCAGATCAAAATATGCAAGTAAACTGAAAATAATTATTGATGAGGCTACTTCTATTTGTTATCGCAAATATCAAATTGTTATACATTTTAAGGTTTTATCAAATGTACCGCAATTTAATTATGCTATATTATAATCTAAAAAGTTGTTGTTTGTAACAATAATTATATAAGTGTGGATACAAAGTATGTACCACACAAATTTGCTAACAGATTTGCAAAATATTGGATTAGAGCATGGTAAGGCTAATTCTATTTTCTCCACTGTATATATATACAGTGGTGTAGGAAGGTCGCAAAAGTTGGGGGGGGGGCTGAAAACTTATGTTAAAAAGGAGAAAGTTCCTCAATTTTGTATGATACAGCAAAATAGATAAAAATGATCTATTTATTCAATTATTTATCACACGCAACATGATTAATCATCTTTTTAACGTGATTAGTCATCTTTTGCCAGTCATTTAAAAAGTAGTTAGTATGCAATAGTATCTTAAACAGTTTTATGGATTTAAATTGTGATATGGATTTCCTATGGTGATATGGATTTCCCATGGTAACTTTGCCATGGTGATGCTTAATTGTGATTTAGTTATTGCAGACTAAAAAATGATAATTCCACTGTTGCTATCATAAAAGTTTTTTTAAAACTTTAAAACAAAGGAGTGGGAGGGGGCTAAATGCAGTGTCCGACCCCCCCCCCCCTATTGTTTTAGGGGGTTATTGTTCCCTCCGCCCAGCCCCTCCCCCACATCCCCCTGTTCCTACACCTATATATATATATATATATATATATATATATATATATATATATATATATATATATATATATATATATATATATATATATATATATATATTACATCATATATTATGCAAAATTTGATAGAAAAAACATAGACTTGTGGTTTGACAATTTTAAGCACTTACTAAAATGGGAAACATGTATCTGCACCTTTTACAAGGACATTATAGTGCCTTTTCACAATTTTTTATGTGATGAAATTAAACTTCACAATTTCACATTAGGGTTTTTTCACAATTTGTTATGTGATGAAATTAAACTGTAATAAGATAATGTCAAATAAAGAAAAGTGCTGTCACTGTCAATTTTAAAAAAGCGCCACCTGGGGTCAATGTTATAAAACTTTTAAGTCCTAAAATATTTTTCAATGCAATGTTATAAAACTTTTCCGCATCCATTTTTGTGGATATCTATGCTCTGAATTTATTTTTAGAAATCTATTGTCTGGATCAATAACATTCTTGAGTTATAAAATGTTGTCAAAAACAAAGTGTTTTTGAGTTGAAATTTCAAAAACATCATAGTTAAAACTTTAGTTTGTTGAAAAATCTAGTTTTCTTATGGACTTGGACTGTTCTGATGAAGAATATTTTTTTACTTCAGAATATTTGACAAATCAGAGACTACCTCAAAAAGTAAAACTGTTCAAACAGTATTTAAACTGTAAAGAATACACTTTATAAAGAAAAAAATAAAATTGTCGTTTTTTACCCTACCCCATAACAAAATTTGTTTAGTTTTTCTATAAAATCAACTTATACTATTTTCTATAGCCATTTTGAAAAAAATGGCCTATAGAAATAGAGGTTTCTTTAGACTAGCAATTGCAAATCAATAAAATATTCTATAGACTTTTTGTAGTTGGAATTCTAAGACTGTTTCAAAATTCTATAGAAAATTGTGTTGATTTAAATATAGAAAATCTATACACATTTTGTATATTTGTTATTGAAAGAAAAAATAGGAAAAATTGCATAAATAAACTTTTAAAAAAAATGACTTTAAATATTAAATAATTAAAAGAATTATTCAAAAACTCAAAGTTTTATAGCAAAAATTTATTTAGACACAAATAAACATTTAAACATAAAACTCTTTTGATGCTTTCTGATTAGAATTTTATCCACAATAAGTTTTGATGTGCTTCCGTACCATAGACAATATGAGAAACTTTGGAAAAAAGTTGTACATGATGTCTAAACACTTTTTGAATAAGAAGAAAATCTTTGATGTATTTTGTTATGTGACTTTATCAAAAATATTTGAGCTCATACCATATTCGAGCATCAAAGGTAGTTTCTAGAACTTTAATAATTCTGTTTATAATTTGACCACTTGTTTTACTATTTCGAATCTCAACTCACCTCTGCATAAATTTTAAATGAGGAAATTTCTTTTGCCTGTCCATTTTGAGATTGTCTAAAAATAAAGTTGATCTGATTTTTGGATCAATAAATAGTCCTGATAAATCTAGCATAAGTGCATTTTTCCATCCAATAGAACTTCCTATATCGTTTCTAATAAGCTCAATAACAAACTTTGGAAGTTTTTAAACATTTTAAATTCCTGAGGGTTTTCTTCCAGGCCCCAATGTCTAAAAGAAAATTTATAAAGTTAACCTAAAAAGTTAAATTTGTCTATTACTTTTATTCATGAAAACTATTACAAATGTTCAACTTAAACCTAACTCGAACATTAATCCTAACATTATTATTGGCGTTTTCATAGGATTTATATGTCGAGCAAAAAGAACATGCTCTCAAAAACACCTTTAAAAAGAAATTGATTTTCTAATAGACATATTTGTTGAAAATGGCCACAACAAGAACATTCTAAATAATATTACTATAGATTTTTTAAACGGTTTAAAAACACCACATTTCAACCATTAGATGCCCAACCCTTTATAAAACTTGGTCCAAAACTTTGTAAAAATTTTTGAAAGAACATAAAGATTATTTTTATATCAACTTCCAATTTAAAAATAATTTTTTGCAACAATAAAGCTAAACTACCACTAAACACAGACCCTGGCGTATACCAGCTAAAATGTTCATGCGGTTTGATATACATTGGTGAAACTAAAAAGAAGGTGATATCAAGATGTATTGAACACCAGAAAAACAGCTTAAAAGAAAAATGGTCCAGTTTGGGTGCAACTGAACGTTCCAAAACAGGCCATGGTAAGTTTGATTGGTTGCACCCCAAAACATTATCTGTAGCTCCAGAATATCAAACTCAGAAAATCAGAGTCACTTGAAATAAGCAAAGCTAGGGTTCGACATGAGTTGAGAAACGATGATATGGTTCTCAATCGGGATGACAGTGATAACTTGACAACTAAAACCATTTTTTAATAAAATCTGCTGACATCAGTTATTTGAAAAGTTTTTTTGTATTACATTTTGGCTTTTTAGTGTTATCTTTTTAACGGTTTGTTTTTACTATAATATAATTTCTTTGTAACTATTTTATTTATTAGTTTAAACGCAGCCATATTTATTGAATTCTACCCATATTTTAAAGTATAACAAGAAAATGACTTTCAAAGATTATATATAATATATATACATACATATATATATCGTTGCTTTTGCCTCATTGTTTTTACTAACTTTCAAAATTTTCAGTGATCAAATTAAAATAAATCAAATATATTCTGAATAAAGCTGTTACATTAAGGTTATTTACAAATAGTAATAAGTAGTTATTTTAATAGTTTTAGTAGTTATTTTTATAGTTATTTACAAATAGTAATAAGTCCCCAATAGTAACAAATCCCCACCACGTCCCTGGTAGTACCGCGCTCAACTTGTTTCTCCGCGCTGCGGCCTTGTTCGTCAAGGTTCGTGTTTCGGAGTTATAGAGTTGAGAGAGGGTTATAGCCACTATTAAGTAGCCTCCTCGTCTGTAGTGGCCTTCTCGGCCTTGAGGAGGTGAATAACAAAAAAAAAAGAAAAAAAAGTACTAATATGAAGTAAACACCTGCCAAATTCAATAATAATAAAATGATGCTAATAATAATTATAATACAAGTAGGAGTAAGTAAAAATAATAGTTGTAATAAAAGCAATTAAAAGTAATAGTAAAGATTATAAAAGTTATACACTATATTATATTAATAATAATAATAACAATAATAACAGTAAAAATAACAACAACAATAATAATAGCAATAATAACAACAACAAAAATATAATAAAAACATTAATTTAAAAAAATATTATAACAAATTAATAACTGCTTTTAAACAAATTAATAAATACTTTTCTTTCACTTATTATTTATAACCCTAACTCTAGCTTCTATTTATCAAATTTTTTTCCTCTTTTCTTTTGTGTTTTAACATTTTTTGCTAAATTTAATAAATTTAACAAAAAATATTAAAACATAACAGAAAAGATTAAAAAAAGTAGATAAATAGAAGCTCCAAATTAGAGTTAAAAATAATAAGTTGAATGAAAGTATAAGATTTATAAGCAATATTTTTCTAAAAAATAGTTAAAGAGAGCAGTTTTTAATTTTGAGAATGAGTTACATTTCTTACATAACAAATTCATTAGAGAAATATTAACAATGAAATCGCTTGAAATTAAAATTTATCAAGAAATGTGTACTTAATTAAAATGAATGAATTTGTAATAAGTTTTCAACTTAAGGTAAGTAGTTTGAAAGTTCTGAACTACAGGTTTCTACAACTAAATAATAATATCTTTGGATCTTCAACAAAATTCCCGTAGATCGCTTCTCCGGAACGTTTATGGACTGTAAACGTTTCGACTGTAGAAATTTATCATCGATAATTTTTAAAAATGTTTTATAACATTGAAAAAAATCATTTACTGCGATAATATTTACCGCCAGTAGCATTTTACGCCGATAAAAAGTTTTTTAACATTGACCCCAGCTCCGAATTTTTTATGCAGGGGGAGCATTTGCTCCCTTTGCGCCCCCCTCCCCTCCTGTCTATGCGTATGTATCATAAAACGACTCAACAAAAAAACTTAAAAATGGGTGAAAAGGAAACTGTATTTACATACTTTATTTTAAAACGCCATTTGGTTTTACTTTATCTGGTCATGTGACCAGGTGACAATTTTATAAACTTTTTTATTTTAATTTTTGTTGTAAATTTTTCTACATCCCAACTGAAAATTCATTTAGGCAATTAATCATTATGATGAATCATTATGATATGATATGATATGATATATATATATATATATATATATATATATATATATATATATATATATATATATATATATATATATATATATATATATATACACACACTTATATATATAAGGAAAATTACCATCTAAGGTTTATAAGCTATCTTTAGCACAATTAAATTAGGTTTTTTGTATATTATATAGTTTTTTTTTTTTATTTTTCATTAATTTTTTAAATTTTATATTAATTTTTTTTTGATTTTAGTACGTTCGTACGGAACTTCCTTTATTAAAAAGAAAATGATTGCAGAAGATCCTCATAGTCATTCCACGGTTTTATCGCTTCATTACGGGTTTCTATTGGCTGAACAAAAGATTTATATTAATGTTGAAAATTATGAAGTTATTGTCATGACACCTGAATTTAAAGTATAAGATATATTCTGTTTTATTAATATTCTATATAATTTTTATATCTTTTAGAAGCTATTTTTATATAATTTTTTTTATTTTATAACAAATAACTGTATTGTAAGATAACGCGTGCAACTAATAGTAATGTATCTATATCAAAATATTTGTGTTTTCATTTTCAAGGGGACAACCAATGAACTTCTTGTACTTTTTTTATTTATTCAGGAGATGGTAAATATCCAAAGGTCAAGGATGGTAAATAAGTTTCGATGAATATAAAAAAAACTGAATAAAAAAATATGATGAAAAAATTTTTAATCTTTTTATGTTACTAGGTTCCAATCAAATTAATACTTTGATTTTAAATCATATATATGTATATATATATATATATATATATATATATATATATATATATATATATATATATATATATATATATATATATATATATATATATATATATATATATATATATATATATATATATATATATATATATAAGTAGCACTAATTTAATAATAATTTTCAAATAAATAAAAATTTTTTTAAAACTTTAACAACATGTTTCATCAATATCAATTGACATCATCAGGTATTAAAAATTAGTTACAATTTCTGTATATAAACAATTCTTTTGGCTACATTTAAAATTTAATAGTTTTTTACAATAGTTACCAAAGTTACATAAAATAAATAATTACCATGAAATTTTACAAAAGATTATACAAAAGGAATGAAATAATTAATAACAAGATAATTGAGAAATTATCATTACATTATTATAGTAATAGTGTATGATTTTAATTGTGTATTAAGAAGAGGTTTTTCCATCTCAATATGGATCCTTTCCTTAATTTCCTTAATTTTGAGTTCATGCTTAGAGGAAGCTCTGTCAATAATGGAAAAGCAATTAGGATTTGAATTTTTGCATTTTTGTGATGAATTGAGGTGTTTGTAAATATGGGAAGCCTTATCTGAATTTAAGTGTTCTGAAACCCTTGTTGTGTAATGTCTGGTGGTTTCACCAATGTATGCAGCATTACAGCTGGAACAAACAAATTTATAGATAACAAAGGATTTTAAACTTTAGGGTAAGGGGTCTTTTGATGGAAACATTCTACTTTTTTTAAAAGTAGTTAAAACTAGTCTTGCTTTTATATTATCTTTACAATATTTTTTAATATATTTATTTAATTGTTGTGTAAGTGTATTTGAAATTTTTCCAATGTAAGGGAGTTTAAAGTGATGTATATCAGATGGTTTTAAAGATGACATGTTTTCTTTAGGAGAGATAAGGTTGTTTAGTAAAATTTTTAAGGTTTTGTCAATTAAGTCCATAGGGAAAGAGTTTTTTTGGAGAGTTTGTTTAATTTTTACAATGTCTAGATGAAAACTTACCCAGTTGTTGAATTTAAATGTCAATCAGAGTTTTAATGAGTTTATAATTAATATTAGTGAAGCTGGTAAAATTAGTCAGTAAACCTGTGTAAGTTTTTTTATAAAACGTTGAAGTATCAAATTTACTATTTACAGAGTTAATCATTATATCATGAAAGTTCAGTTTGAGATCAACTTCTTCCTCTTTAGTAAATTTTAGATTTGGATGTTGTTTATTTATATATTCTAGAAAAGTGTATCATCGCTATTTTCAAAGATAAAAAAAATATCAACTACATACCTTTTGTATAAAACAACTTTTTTGCAATTATTTTGTAACCAAATATTTTCGTGATGACTCATAAATAAATTAGCTAAAGCAGGAGCTAGCGGAGATTCCTTGGCAACTCCATCGATCTGATTAAATATTTCATTGTTAAATAGGAAATGCATTTGCATGGTTGAAAATATAAATAGTTTTTTAATTCAAGTTTGGAAGTTTTTGGTCTATTTTTTAAGATTAAATCCACAACAACTGAGTTTCATCCAATGGGATATTTGTAAACAAACTTTCCACATCGAAAGAGACTAGATAAGAGTTAGCTACTCTTATTTCTTTAAGTTCATTAACAAAGGTAAAGCTTTGGTGTAATGGTTCATTGGAATGTATGGAGTAAGTAAATTACTTGAAAATTTAAATAAATTGTAGTTATATGTATATCCCTAATGAGGAAACTATGGGTCTAAAGGCAAAAATGTTATTATTAGCGGTTAATTAATGCATTTTAAGGTGGTAGTATACCATTAAAAAAAATTTTTGCATTTTAACATTTTTTCAATTTTTAATAGTGCATAATATATATTATATGATTTAAATATAAGTAAAAATTTAAAAAGTTAAAATTAATTATGCCCATAATTATTGACAGACAAAAGCCTAAAAATGAATAACTGGCGACAGGGTTTTTTCAGCAACCGTAAATAAATTTGAATTGAAATTTTGGCTTGTGATCCTTTACTTATGCAATAACAACATACACTAAAAGTTTTGGATTTTGACCAAAAAAAGTCAAAATATATGCATTTTAGTCATTTGAAAGTTTTGGTGTTATTTGAGAACACAAAATTACTCACTAAAGTAGAACACAATTAGCTGTGAACATAATTCTAGTAGAGGTTGCAAATACATGCGTTACAAACAAGTGTGCCAATTTTCAGATCAATTCGGTTATCGGTTTGAAAAATATCTCCGTCGCCAGAGTATAAAACATGATTTTGAGAAAAACTCAATTTAAAAATAAAAACAAAAAAATTGTTCAAAACTCCCCACTTCCATAAACTGCACCTTCTAATGTTTTGTCAAAATGTCTTAATGTTTTGATCACAAAAACCTTTTTGTATAGCTCTTAGTTTCTTGCGTCTCAATTTCACTATGACTAATTTTACACTTTTGGAAATGTGATGACTGGAACTTTTCATATTCAACTGGATGTGTGTATTTTTTTAACTTCCATATTGAACATAATTTACATGTTTTTGTTTTTATTTGAAAGTCAATACATTTACCACTTTCAACTAAAATTGCAGAAACAACTCCGTTATTTAAAGTAAAACCACGCTTTTGCCATGAACCATCAAAGCTACACATGTCTCTTGATGTTTCACCTGCAGGGATTAATTCATCAGCAGCATTTTTCATGTTCTGGTCAACTAAATTTTGATAAATGTCTAACAGGTTATGTAAAGTTTTATTGTAGCTTTTTTTGTTCATAGGTGGCTTCATATTCATTATTCCACAAAATTTTTCTAATGACGATAACTCTTTACCGATTTCACGAAAAGCCACAATGACACGTGTGTTAATATCAAATGGTTTTAGCCCACTACATTTGCTTTTACTAGGCTCTTGTTGTTCAAGTAAATTTTTTTACAAAATGTAGCAGATGTAAAAAACTCAGTTTTCCAATTGCAACTGTTACAATATATTTTTAAACCAATACTCAAACCATACTTTTTTGAGGAATCAAACATTAAAAAAACTTTATCTTTACACAAATTTGGGCATTTAAGTAGGGATATAACGTTTTCCAACAGACTAAAGTTCATAACAAAGATAAAATTAAAATCAAAATAAACAAAGCGTTGCTAGGGGGAAAATAAAAATTATTTTATACAGATACATTATAAACAGGTTTTAACATGTGAAGCTTTTTTTATTTAGTTAAATCAACTAAAAATTCGAAATCTGCGATGATTATATTGGTTAAAAAATGAAAGTAAAAAAAAAAGTTTTTTACTTTTACTGGTGTACTACCACCTTAAGTTTTCCATACATTCTAGCAGTTGTTGAACCAGTAGGATAGATTTTTTTATATTCGTCGGCATTAAATAGATTTTTATTTTTAATCTTTGTAGTTGGTCTTCTCTGAGTACAGTTGGATCTTTAGGAATCTTTTTGAATTTAGTAGTATCATTAACAATTTCATAAATTTATCCACGATAAAGATTTCGGTCTAATATAATAATGTAATAAACGCCATTACTTATGTCTGGTTGTTATTATAATATTTTTGTTTTTTCGTAGCTTTTGAAGGATGTTTCTTTATTGTTGTAAACGAATCGTGTGCTTAACTTACGGCGGAATAATAAACGGAGTAATAAACGGAGTAATAAACGGCGCTATTAAGGGAATCTGCGAAAAGATTTTTTTTAGAGTTTTATACCTAAAAATGCTGAATCTTCTTTGATTTCCTTTTTTTAGGTATTAAAGTATAGAAAAAAATAAACATATATATAATAGTTATTTTACCAGAATTTATATTAAGTTTGCATCAATACTATATCAATGTATCAAAGTTATATTAATGTATTTTTATCAATCTGATACGTAATAATTTTATATATACTTTTTCTTTTTATCACGATAATAAATGTATATTTTATATGGTATACCTGGAGAAGAAAAAATAAATAAAAAAAGTATATGTTTGCAAAATGAGAGATATCCGTTTTAAGGTGGTACTTGGGTGAGAAATCCAAATTCTTTAATTCTTACTATTTAAATTTGATATTTTGGTACAACAATTATATACAGGTAACTATGCCTTTTTTTAAAAAAAAAAAGAAAAAAAATTACAGAAAACCCTTTTTTGGGTCCAAAGGTCTCAAAATGGTCACTTTGCGGTGCGTCAAATTCAGAAAAAACCACCTGTAAAATGATAACAAAATTTTTACAGTTTGTTTATTAAAATTTTACAGGTATGGGAGCAGAATTAGCCTGATTACATAACTAGATCTAAGGTAATTAAAATTCAAATACCTTGCTTATAAAAAAGCTTAAAAATAAAACTTTGGGCTTGGGTAACTCTGGACCGAAAAATATTTTTTTTAAAAATGTTGGTTCTAAACCTGTATCTTATAAAAAATAACCACTATATAAAATTTCAAGAGTAAAACTCACATAAATCAAAAGTTATATGACGCACCGTTCAAAAAATTCAATTTTGAAATAAATGCAATTTAAGTAATAATATACTAAAATATCACTAAATTTCTTTCAAATATTCAAAAACAAAAAGATTTTCATGGTTAATGACCGTAAATAAAAAATAATAAAAATCTCTCTAATATAAACCATAACCATACTTCATTTCTTCTACATTGATTAGTATTTGTGAAACCTTTTATGAACTCTTTGAATATGCAAAAATGAGACATTAATGAGACCTGATTTAAAAAATAAAAATAGTGAAAGAGCCAAAACTTTCCTTTGCAAGAAACA